TCAGACCTTTTTCTCGGAAACGCTGTAAATGTAAAATCCCTGTTATCAATATAGTCATTTATTGAATTTCGTGCTCTTGGAAACAAAGACGCAATGTGTGATATAGGCGAGGCACGTTCTCTTCTATTGCGAGGTTGCGGTGCATAATAATATAACTTTAATGAAACTTTTGCAGGGTGGTGTTTAATCGAACCAGGACCAAAAGCCACAAGTACGTTTTGTGAGTGAAAGAAATGCCTTATAGCAGATTTCGCGCTTTCATCATGCGATACAGTAGAATTTTTACGCGGGTGAAATAGGTATTGCGTTGTATCCCATTCTTGTCGAATACCTAGACGTAAACTTTTTGCGTGAAAACGCGACATTTATTTTTGATAAATAATTTTGACAAATTACGCATGTGATTTCTACTTTTAAAATTTTCGTTTACACATCCCCAACATTGATACATAATAACTATGTCTACTGAAAACAAAAAAGCGCTAGTGTTAATAGCAGACGGAACCGAAGAAATGGAAGCGGTCATTTCAAGTAATGCGTTTGACATGAACATTGCTGTGTCTGTCTGTATAGTCTGATCAACTCGAGTTTCCTGCATAATAGTTGATGTGCTTCGACGCGCCTCAATTGAAGTGACAGTTGCGGGTGTCGCACTCAAAGAACAAAAATTTGCCACGTGTAGTCGTGGTGTAAAAATTATTCCAGATATTTCTTTTGATAATCTTTGGCCTACAGTATCACATGTATTTTTTTATTCATCTATTATTTACATAGACACTCTCGATATAGCGGGAAACGGAAAAATGTTTACTATATAACGAACTTGATGTATTTCAATGAGATCAATAATTCATTATATCGAGTTTGTTTGTCATATCGAGCGTTTATTATATCGAGAATGTCTATGTATCTGTCTAAGCTGTAAATTTCATTAGTCGAAAAAATCCCACATAATGAAATATATTTCTTTGTAATAAGGATTCTTTTGACGTAATTATTGTTCCCGGTGGTTTGGGAGGAGCGAAAACTATTTCGTCAGACGAAAACGTTCAAAAGTTATTGGCGAATGCTCATCAGTCTAAGAAAATTGTTGCGGCGATTTGTGCTGGTATTTAGATATAAATTATATGTTTTATACTTTCAATCAATTTATGTTTCTTCTAAATAAATATTATAAGGTCCAATCTCCGTCAAGCTCGCAAAAATCAACAAAGGTGGTAAAATCACCTGTCACCCTGTAGTACAAAAAGATCTGG